GATGTTGCCAGATGTTTTTCCCTTATTCCATACTTGCTTTATTCTTCATAAGTGCCTAGCACCATATAAGGAAATTTATAAAGATCTTTTAACTAGAAGCAAGCAATCTAAAATTACATACTTTTTGCAAAAGGTAGAGCATGGATCTGAAGATAATGCAGAAAAATGCTCAGAGGATAAGGATAACTTGCCAAAAAAAAAAAACACTTTTGGTTAATAGTGCTTTTAGTAATGATGAAAAAAACATTGTTTAATTTATATTAATATGGATCACTTATGAAAATTTTAATATATTTATCTTAATTATGAAAATATAATAGCATGTTTTTTAATTTTTGGAACCTAACCCTCCTTTTCGTACAAGTTCTTTGTTTCGTATAACAAGGATTCGCATAACACGGCAATTTTTGGAACGTAACTCCCATGTTATACGAGGGTTACCTGTACATACATGTATGTTAAAAATGTCAAAGAAATTTTTATGAAATATATTTTTAAAGTGTACAATAAATAATAAAAGTAAACTTTCTTATAAAGGAAAAAATTTTCAAGTGATAATATAAACAAAGTTTGAGGATGCATATAAATGTTCTCACCATACTGGTCAATGCAGTATAGGATGCTCCTATGTATCTTTGGTACTAAACATGTGAAGCAGAATAATTTTATAAGACTACAATTAGAAGAAATTCTGGTTAAACATTAAAAAGAAATGTTATAACAATTTAAAAATGTATAATTTGAAGATTTATTATAATTATTATTATTATTAATGAATATATAATTATTCTATTGATAGTTTTTGCTACCAACTTTAACTGCAGCTAGTGTAATGCCAGTTATTTAAACTATTGTATTGCAATTAATAATATTGCCATAAGTTGCTAATAGCACAGAAATATCATTGTTTCAATTCTCCAGCATAAGTTGATTTATTACAGAAGTCACTGTTTGAACAAAGAACATCCCTGTTAGAATGAAAATGTAAATTTTTACATTATTTTTTCATATGAAAAATTTTTTAACAAATGAAATTGTTTTTTTTTTCACACTTTTTCACATTACTATGAATGACTCTTATTTACATACCTTTTGTTATTTTTTTGCCAAAATCATTTTTATTTAATACAGTAAAATTTACTCAATCAGTTAGTTTTCCCTTTCTTTGATTGGCTCTACTAGCTATTTCTGCAATTGATTTTTTCTACATTATATGTGGCACTTTTCAAAATTGCATTTGCTACTTCCATCTTAGATCTCTACAAGTTTCTTGGAACATTTCCAGTCTGTCTTTCATTAAATTCTCCCCTCTTAACTTCTGGACTTCAAGGTCAGATAGATCTGGAATTTCTAAAGATGTTAATGCATCTAACAAGGCTTCTTTACCCTCTTTTCATTTCATTGCTTCCTTTCTTTGTTTGTATGAATTCTTGGCTGGCTTACAGAACCTGTCTTATTATTGGAACCTTCTCCAGGTTTTCACTGAATTTGTCCATGAAAGATGAAGTGGTTCTTAATATTAATGCTTTTTGTACTGAGACTTACTCTGTCTGGACAAAATAAGCTTTTGTTTTCCCTAAACCCTCTTTTGATATCTGCACTGTGAAAAAGAGTCAAACACCCTGCTTGTTGAAGATTTTATAATAGGTTGTACCTGCATGGTTCTGTATGTTGAACACTAATCCTGTAATGGTCAATCCTATAGTGCAGTGACACATGCTCCTTGACTTTCTGTTGTCAATGTCTGATTCATCATCACAGCTTAAATCATCAGAAGATTCTTTACTATCATCATCATTTGCATCAGGACATTTACTAAAATCAGATGTGATACTCTCCAGGAACCAAGATTCTGGTATTTTTTTGCACAATACATTATCCATTTGTCCACTACTTTTTTGATGTCTTCACAAGGAAAATGTTTTAACTTTTAAGTACAATCTGGCATACAGCTTCTGTTGACCACTCTATCTTTTACTAATGGATACAGCACATAAGATCACAAAGTAGTCTATTTTTCATTGGAAAGATGCATAGCAATTCAGACAAAGCTATAATGAGAAAAATTTTGCATGAGAAAGAAAATGTTTCTTTTCACTCTGAAAATTTTTAATTTCAAAAAGATACTCCAGTTTCTTTTGCACATCTTAGCCAGTGTCAATAATTTTCAAGATGTTCTTTGCCTGTTTGAAAAACAATCAGCAATTGCTTCAGCATAGCACTAGGCACCAGTATGTATGCCATGTAAAATACATACCACCAACACAATAATAATAATGTGTTAAAATAACCTCAGAAAAAATTAATAAATAAATAACTTTGATGTTGAAATAGTGTTGCCACCTTTTCAAAATTGCTGACCTGGATGGCAGGTGAGGTTTGTTTGAACAGAAGTTCCTGACGCATGTCATTTTGCAATGCGAAGAATTATGTGCAGTGCATGCCAGTTCTAAATCAGTTACAGTTAGGGACTAGGGAGACTTGGGTAGGAGTAACGTAAGTAACTAAATTACAAATTAAGAAAAAACAACTACAGATGACTTAGCTCTATTGGAGACGTGTATGAATATGAATCGTACAAGCAAAAAAAAAATAAAATAAAAAAAAAGGTCGACGGGTTGCACAAGATATTCCTGGAGAATATTGATTGTTCACCCAGACAGTGAGTCAATTCCCGGACTGTCCGGGTGAAAACCGGATAGGTGGTAACACTATGTTGAAAATATCCAATGATACATATCCAAGAGTATATCGCTTAGCTCTTATTCTTTGTAAAGAACTAATGTATTATAAGATTATTAAAACAGTTGGCTTCTCTAAACAATTCTTTGAGGATATATAGAGAAAGAAAAATTACCAGAAATTTAACAATTTTTAAGATATGAGCTCAAGTAGGAATGTCTAATAATATCACTTTAAGGCATGGATTGTTAAACAGAAAATAAATGGGAGAGAACTAATGGAAGATATATATAGATTTTAAAAATCACAATGGCAAATAAATATGTGCAGCATATAAAAGATTTTTTGTTTTTTTAAAGACATTCTTGGCAAGTTTAGACAAAGGAAAAGCTATTGAATGAGTTGAGTGCAATTAAAAATCAGTAGGTAACCACCAATGTCATATAACCCATATCTGCTTTTAAACTGACTTTTAAAACATAATCCACAGATTATTCCCAGGAAATTACAGTACAAAATATCTACAAGCCAAATTTTCTGGCTATCATTTGGTTAATAATTTAATTCATCAAAGTATATAATTTGACCTTTTAGGTTAAATTATATACTTCGATTAATTTATTTTCATAAACTGTAGATATAAAGTGCTCATTAATTATATTCATTTATCATTTAGTTAATATCTTTACACAAAACTTTTACCTTGAAAGTTGTCTTCTTTTTTTAGATATATTACAATTGATGATAGTTTCAGTATTGGAAATTTATATTGTATTCTATTTTAAGTGATAAAGCCTCTAATGTTAGAGAAGGAAAAAATACTTTAATGAATTTCATTTTAATATTACAGCATTGATTTTAAGAAACATTATTTGTATATTATTTGTTTAAACAAGTTAAAAATATAATTTAAAGTTCAAAATAATCCAGTCTGAACTATTCTTCAAAAAATTCAAGTCAGCCGACAATCTTTATAAAGGTTGAAAACATTTCTCTAATAAAAATATGTGGTTCTGCGTGCCGTCTAATTTCTTTTTAAAAAAAAGAATCTTCTGTTTTCTTGACTAATTGATAACTTTATATCTGGCTGTTGGATAATATTTAAATTAATAATTAGTCAAGAATACATAAAATCATGAATATAAATTTTGAATATTCAGATTATCAACTAATGGTCAAATCAAACAAAGCAACAATGGCACAAAACTTTGTTAACAATATCTAACATAATTACATTAATCATCATCCACTTTTTATTTGTGAAAATTATAATTATATTAAGTTAATGGGAAATTATAAAATGCACAGTAATATATTCACATGATGTAAATAATATTTAACAAACTTCTGAAAACATGAGACAAATAAAATGCCTTTTTCTAATATTAACATAAACTTCACAATTAATCTCAATTTAAAAAGAAACTGGATATTTAAATCTATAATAAAATGTATATAAAGTGGTTAGATGATTTAAAACTTACATTTATAACAAGGTTTATTATTATTTATAATTATATTGGTTTCTCTCAGTGAAAGAAAAGGTTCTAAACTGGGTATTTTATGAGGGAAAACCACCATTATCTTTAATTTTTTCTGTATCGCCTAATACAACTGGATTAAATAATTAAAATAATAAAATGAAAATCGCAGTTTACTGGAAGGAAAATGTAGGTCAAAATCTTAATGCATTTTTATTTACGTGGAAGAAAAAATTATGACAAGACACTTACCAAAAACAATCGAATCGATTAAGTTAACGAGATCAAACAAAAGTAGATTTTTACTTTTATTTCAAAAAGTTTGCTCAGTTCTTTATGTTATAACATAATTTCAAATATTATTTTAAAATAGTAAACAGCGCACAGCAAACGAATCATTCTAACCTTCTTTCAAGGGAGGGAGGAGAAAAAAAACATACATAAATAGACGATTGTAATTTTTTCACTAATAGATGGTGCAATTCCAGTTTTTCCGCCGACATTTTGAAGTTGCCACTTCTAATACATTACAATTTATATAAATCGTAAACATTATTATTATTATTAATGAATATATAATTATTCTATTGNTTTATTTACGTGGAAGAAAAAATTATGACAAGACACTTACCAAAAACAATCGAATCGATTAAGTTAACGAGATCAAACAAAAGTAGATTTTTACTTTTATTTCAAAAAGTTTGCTCAGTTCTTTATGTTATAACATAATTTCAAATATTATTTTAAAATAGTAAACAGCGCACAGCAAACGAATCATTCTAACCTTCTTTCAAGGGAGGGAGGAGAAAAAAAACATACATAAATAGACGATTGTAATTTTTTCACTAATAGATGGTGCAATTCCAGTTTTTCCGCCGACATTTTGAAGTTGCCACTTCTAATACATTACAATTTATATAAATCGTAAACATTATTATTATTATTATTATTATATATTTATAATCGGCAAGTGTATGTGTGAATAAGAATAGAGTTTTTATTACTAAAACTAGATATGATATGATAGACATTCAAAATTCAATACTGTATCACTTAATTTTTATCAAATGTTAATAAAATTTGGAAAAGGAAAAAAAAACAAACATTTTAAGACTATAAAAATCTTCGTTGATAACAATATTTTCCTTCAACAATAGAAAGTTCTTTTTACTACGAACTTCCGTTTTTGGCCACGGTCTGAAGCGCTCTAATCGCCGTGGATTTCATTAAACTTATCAAAGTAGAATTGCTTATAAGCGTCAGTTGCAAAAGCACTTGAGTTGTTGCAAAATGATAAAAAAAATAGAAGTTTATATATGATGAATGAACAATATATATATACGGCGTTATATTCATTATTGATAATAATTACCTAAATTATATAGCATTATATTAAATTATACAAGTTATTAATATACTTAATTGGGCTGCAATTTGAAAAAATTGTAGACCTATAAATTTCCACTAGCGACCATCTGCTGTCTGGCTGTCTCTGTCCCTACTTAAAAAATGAAAGTATTCCATATAATCACAGGTCCAAAAATGCTTCCTTCCAAAATTTTAGCAATTTTAAAGTTAGCGGTAATCAAAAAATGTTACCGTAATACAAATTAATGTTAAGCTACTGTTTTGACATTTATGTTTTCAAGTGACATTTTAAGTGCTCTTTAATTAAACCTTTATTCTAACTCATGAATGGTGGACATCAGAAATTCATTTTATGTATGACTGGCCTAACAGCAATACACGGGAAGTACAACAACTGTATAGAGAATGATTGTACAGGAAGGGCAAACTGCCGTTATCTGGAAAGGAACATCTTCGGACTTACGTTTATATGGAATTTTTTTATTTTTTATGATCCACAGAACACGCTCTTAAAGTTTGGCGAGATCTTTCAAAAACACCTCGTATACTAGCGACATAAATGCGCTGCGACTACACTGAAAAATCATAAATTTATATTTAATGATGGCAATAATAATTTTAAGTTACAATAAAGAATTTGTTATCTCTAATTAGATTTATATTTAATTCTTATTTATTTATTTCAGTTGGCTTGTTAAACATAAATTTAAGTATTTTTAGTTCGTGAATTGCTTTTAAAGATTAATATTAAGTCGGTAAGGTAAGTTACATTTAAAATACGAAAGATGAATCAAGCCAACAACGAAATTCGCTATCGGTACTAGAACTAGAAGCATTCGAGATTAAAGGAGAAAAGGCAAAAATCTGAAAGTCCGAGCAACAAATATTGAGAGAATTCAATGTCGAAATTCGAATAGTCGTAATTTTATCATGGAAAAGTAACCGTTGAAAATTAAAGTTGAAGAGAATTTCAATTGATGATTCAATAGCTTATTGAAACGTTTTCAACGATACAAAGAATTCGAAAAACGCTAAATGGAAAAGTAAACATCTACTGCGTATCAAAAGAAGACAGGTCGAAGTATAAAGAGGATGATGTTCTTAAAACGCATCATTACGGATGATTAATTAAATATGGATCTACGCCTTTGNGTTTTCAACGATACAAAGAATTCGAAAAACGCTAAATGGAAAAGTAAACATCTACTGCGTATCAAAAGAAGACAGGTCGAAGTATATAGAGGATGATGTTCTTAAAACGCATCATTACGGATGATTAATTAAATATGGATCTACGCCTTTGACACCGAAACACCAACAATCAAGTGAATGACGCTCGAACGATGCAGCGAGACCGAAAAGACCACTTCAAAAATCAAGTGCTGACTGTTTTTTTTTTTTTTTTTATTGTCGTGATGTCGTGCATCACGAATTCGTTTTGACTGGCCAAACTGTCAACAAAGAATATTATTTGAGCGTTTTGCGTAGTTTGCGTGAAGCAGTTCGTAGAAAACGACCCAATTTCAGGCAAGAAAACTCATGGATTTTGCACCACGATAATGCGCCTGTTCGTAATGTACTTGTTATTAGTGAATTTTGGCCAAAAATTCACTAACAACAAATACGGTTCTTCATGCTTCTTATTCACCTGATATCACACCATGTGACTTTTTCCCGTTTCCTCGACTAAAATTTCGCTTCGTGTTCACCGTTTTGAGCCGATCGATGCCACGGAAACAAAATTCGCTGAGAGTCCTGAATTGTTTCACGAAAACGACTATTTTGAGGATTAGAAAAACGTTGGCATAAGTGCGCTGCAGTGGGAGGGAATTACTTTGAAGAGAACGAAATAAATTTTGATGAACAAATTCAATTCTTACGTTTATTGAACCATTCCTGATACTTTTTGATCACAGCGGTATGTAGCGTTTGAAAGAGTTCTTCCATAATCTCAAACATCAATCTGTATCGAAAAGTTTGGCAGAAAATGTCTGGTATGGTTTTGCCATTTTGCCAATTTGCCAGTGTTAATTGAAAAGTTCGTCATTAGTGACAAAAAGAAATGTTGCTGCTGATATTTATATTAATGAATTTTTTTTAAACATTCATTAAAAGTCTTCTTGCTTTTTTAAGAAATAATGATGGCCATACATTCTTTGTTATGGCTCTCGATATTTGAACATTATTACTGTAACGTGAGCCGACGGTAGAGTTATGCACTAACTTAATCAAATAGACAGTTTAGAAAACAACTATAGATTTTTTCTACGAGATTATAATTTGATGTGAATACATATAAATGATGACTAGGATAACATACACGATAAGTCCGACAATCAATTAATCGAGGATATCAAATCCTAAACCACTAATTCTAGTCAGAGAGAAAGTTTACATAGAAATAGTCATATTACCTGAAATCCGCCAGCGCCCCTTTCCTCTCGGTCCGTATCTTTTCCTGTTCTTCCCTCCATTTCTTGTCAGCCAAAGTTGANTACGATCTCAGTTTCGGAACGGATTAATTTCGTATCCTGAGGTACCACTGTAATTAATTTCCAATTTTGCAAACCAGTTATTATTTTAGACTTTGATGTTGAAAATAGTTTGCAAGGGTAGCAGTAAACACTTTTGCTTCTTTCCGAAAATATCAGCCAATCTCTCTTTTCCATAATTTTATTTGATTTCTTTTTGTAAAAATAACTATAAGAAAGTCCTTTGTAATACATCTCATCTCTGTCTTTATACACTGATTTATTAATTACTCCTATTAATTGAAATTCTATATATTCCTAATACTTTTTAGTTTGTTTTTAAGAATACGATCAATAATAGCATCTGTTAATTTTGTTGGCCATAAAGCTATATCATTTATTATTTCGATATCTATATCTAAGCGTCTTTTATACTATCTATATCTTCTGCTTTTTTGGAATCCCTTTTTTCAGTAGCATTTTAAAAACCTCGGGGGCTCCTTCGGGGCTCTAAGCGGCCGCTTACCGCTTAATTCTCCACTAAGGAATATACCACAAACGCTCCCATTAAAAAGCAAAAAATAATGTCAGATTTTATGCATGTCTTTTAGAACCTCGGAACTCAGATTTTATTCGGAAGTTGCCACGTTTTCAGTTTAGCAATTTTAAAAAAATTCCCGGGCAGATTTATTTTTGTTACAAAATGTCACCTTTACAGNTCCCTTAAAAAGTCCTCCCGGAAGGCATCCCCTAGCAGATCGCCCAAGTGTTGCGTTGCCATAAGTTAACAAACAGACGTCGTTGTTGTTGTATGCAGTTTCCAACAAACTTTAATAATTTTTTTCTATTTGTGAAAATTTCTATGTAATTAAAGGTAATTTTTAATATGTGTCTTAACAGAATTATTAATATGATTGGAGGTTGCAGAACGTATTAAATTACTTTAAAAAATGAAAAATAATTATATCATTTAATTTCATGATATTTGATATATTTTAAAAATAATTAATTCTGTCCCTAACTAAAACTCTACTAATGATGATTTTCAAAAAAACGTTAGGGCCCATTTCGAGTCATTGGTGGCAACATTCTATGACAAGGGAATGAAAAATTTCGTCCACAGATATGACAAATGCTTCAATCTTCATGGTGATTATGTCNAAACTCTACTAATGATGATTTTCAAAAAAACGTTAGGGCCCATTTCGAGTCATTGGTGGCAACATTCTATGACAAGAGAATGAAAAATTTCGTCCACAGATATGACAAATGCTTCAATCTTCATGGTGATTATGTCGAAAAGTAACCATGTTTGTACCTAACTTTCGGTAATAAATTCATTTTGTTATTTACACTTGTCTTTGTTTTATGGACTATCGAAACTTGAAAAAAAAAAAAAAACAGTCTACGTATATCCAGATTTTTAGTAATCAGTAAGGTCTCTTGTCAATGTCTGAGATTAGAGTATCAAAAGACAATTAGTGTGTTATATTCTAGCTATTCCAATAGATTGANTTAATTCTGTCCCTAACTAAAACCCTACTAATGATGATTTTCAAAAAAACGTTAGGGCCCATTTCGAGTCATTGGTGGCAACATTCTATGACAAGGGAATGAAAAATTTCGTCCACAGATATGACAAATGCTTCAATCTTCATGGTGATTATGTCGAAAA